CCCCCATTGCCTGCATCCAAATAAGTGATAGAATCCAAAGAACCCCAAAATATTTGAACTAGACAGTAATAACTCTAAACCAGTAGTGCATCAACAGAACAAAAATACAAAACATGAAAAACACGTACATACTTCTTATATACATATGTACATGAGAATTTATAAGAAATAGTCCCATTTTCTCTGCTATAATGCATCTCCTCCAGTATGTCAAAGCAATGATCCTTGAAATTTATTTTAATTTTTTTTATGAAGTAAACAAAGTCACAGGAAAATATATGTGGAAAGTGAGACAGTTGGTGAGCAAAGATTGTGTTGGTGTGGCAAAAACCCCTCCCAAAACTGCTGTGTTTTTAATGTGCTGTGTGCCAGCATATGATGGCACCACAGTTCAAACCCTTTCAACCAAATGCTCTCTGTCAGATGCCTCAGGACACCTGACAGAGCATTCAGCGGAAATCTCTGTTGACAATCTCACCCTAGGAGACAAATTCAGTGAATCATGGAAAAAAAAAAAAAAAATGTAATGAGCATGCTCCTAGTCTTGCTTTTCACTCGATGGGCTGCCTTCTGGCTTGGAAACTGTGGAGTCTTGTCACCAGCAATGATCCCTCACACGAAATTTGTGCAAGGTTGAAATAGAAGTTGATGTTTGCTCTCTGTGCATGTTTGAGGTCTATGATTAAAGTATAGAAGAAAAGTGGCACACATAACTGGTCTTCCAGAGAGTTCTGAAAGTGGTCTTTAGATGCACAAGAAGAAAAGAAGGTCGATCACATTTAGATCACAAAAAAGAAGAAAATTATCTTCAGAACAACTGAAGTGAAAAAAGTAAAGCAAGAAATTACAATATTAACAAAAACAAAGGAAAATGTAGTAGGAAACTGAATAAAAAAAGCAATACAAATTGGGAAAAATGTCTATAAATAGAACAGCCAGTTAAGAAAAACAGTAAAAAAATGTGAACAAAAACCATTGAAGAACTTCAGATTCAACAGAAAGCAAGTGAGACTAACAATATCCTGCTCACTCACCTTTGGATTTTATGTGTGAGTGGGACCAAGTCGGAGAGGAACAAATAAAAAAATGTTATGTTATCATTTTATTATTTCATAGAAGCTTTTTTGAAAATGTGTCCAAACCTTTACAGGTATGCTAAACCAGATCCTTACCTTGGCCACAGCTTTGACGATGCCAACTTTGTGATGATCATGTGTTTTCATTGAAGTCAAGCTGGCACTCTTCCCTTCAGTATTGGAGGTGACAGATGCACCTGCTCCTCCTGCCTTACTCCTGGCCCCTCTGTGCCTCATTGCCAGCTGTCGGGGTGGACGCTCCTCCCCCTGTACATCTGACACACAGGAGGTCTGCCGGCAGCTGAGGATGTTTGCTGCTCCAGGCCTGAAGGACAGCTGTGAGGAAACACACCAGATCAGACAAAACTATAACAGTCATAAAGCCGACAGACCATCATGCAATTGTTACTGATCATTAGAAACATAAACAATATGTCACCAAAGGTATTTGGATAAACACATTTTCATGAGAATATAATAGCCCAACTTTAAATTGGAGTCCTACCTTTGCTGGATTTTTATCAACACCTGCAGTGGAACAGGCATGGGAGTAGTAAGTATAATTTTGAAAAATAGGAATTTTACATAAAGTAATCTTCACAGTGTCAAAACACAGCTTTACCAGGAAGGTTAACTGACTGTTAACTGTGCGTTTGTTAACAGGATTACTCAAAGAGCTATGGATAGATTTGGATGGAAAACATTATTTTTCTGCACATCCAAAATGAAGATTAAAATGTAGATTATAAAAACTTAAAGGTCTCACCATGACTTAGCAAAATCAACTTGGGTTTTCCATTTTCAAGTTCAAAAAGCAGGCCGTCCCTGTTCACAAACACAACATCGATTAGGGCACAGAAAAAACACAATAAACACCAAAAATTATACTGTAGCTGTACTGCACCTACAGAACCAACTGTTTCTACTTTCATTTTTCAAAGTGTGTTTTGTCCAAGTCCAAATATGGGATCAGGATCACTGAAACAGCACTCAAATAACAACAGTCCAACCACAGGAGGGTCATGGTTTTTCTTCGCTTAAATGTCCCATTTATGAAACGTCACACAATCACATCTTATGAGTCAGTACAGGGCAAAGATCGATACTGTATTTAAGTCTCATTATCTAGTCTAAGTGGTTGGTGTATGCTCAATTTCCACTCCATATTTTTTATTATTGTACTACAGAAGCTTTACATATTCACAGTTCAAAATAATCCTTATTTATCTTATAGTGATGATGTGAGAGCTGACAGAAGTAGTAGGATTAATTCTGAAGTGTACCAAGCTTTACTCTGCTGATTCAGACAAATGCTGCAGAACTGATCACACTGTGCTCCACAGTACAAATGAATAATGACCCAAAGCATACCAAAAAAGTATTCCAAGAGTTTATCAAGGCACAGAAATAGGATATTGTACAATGCCCAAGTCAGTCACCTGATCTCACTCCAATAGAGCAAGCTTTTCAGCTACTGAAGACCAGACTGAAGGCTTAGAAATCCACAAACTAGCAGAAACTGAAGGTGGCTGCAGTAAGTCTGCAGAGCATCTCAATTGACGAAAAGGATTGTCATCCAAGTATTTAAAATTGTGTTAGTTTGCCAAATTTATTTTGCGCACATACAAATGTGTCTAAAAACAGCTGCAATTCCCAAACAGTTAATGCAAAACCTGGAAAACTCAATTAAACGCTGAAAACTGATGTACAGAACCAAACTTCTAACTGTTCGACTATACTTACGGCTCCAAACCTTGTGCCCGTAAATCAATACAATGTTAAGATGTTTTGATGCACACCAGTCTCACGGTGAAATTTTCTGAGTTGTTTGTAAGAGCTGTAGTCAGGTTCATGGGGACCCTTGCAGGTTGACCTCCCCTCTTTTATTGCTGCAATGTAGTGTTTTTAAAATGGGTCATGTTATGTATTGATTCTCTTCGGTTTTAAGCTAAAATAATCCCCTTCATTTCACTGCGACATATTCGACCCGTGTTAGCCTAAGCTAACTCCCCTTACCGTTATAAGGAAGACTCACCCGAGATTCATGCCGACAGAAGACGGCTACGCGTCTACCTAGGGCCGTATAAAACCAGATGTGGAAACTCAGCACATGACGTACAGCTTTATAAAATCGCTTTTGTCAGGCTCTGACTGGCCAAACTGCTGGTTCCTCTATGTACAAACAGTGTATGTTCGTTGCTGGCGACGACCAAGAAAAGTGTCACTGATTGGCTAATTCTTTATCATGTTTAAAATTAACAGCCAATCACATGTCTTCATTAGAAAGATTTAAACGATGTTGCATTTAAAGTAACTCGGAATTAGGCAAACGATTAAGCCTTTTCCCATCAGCTTGCTACCTCTATTAGCTAGGTATAAATGGTCCACCACCTACCAGGAGGCAGTATAAATGTTGTGTGAATGAGGGTCACAGTGATCACCGTGATCGACTTGATTTTTTTTTAACTTTTCAAAGGGTTTCTGAAGGTAGCCTCCAATTATTAATGCGTTGTTTACAGTGAGACGAATTTATGTAGTCATCCTTTTAAGTCACTCATATTTATATATATTGTGGTTTGTTCTTTATATTGGGACAGCTTTTTTGTTTGCTTTTTTATGTCCCCACCTCGCTTACAGTATCATAACATAACTACTGAACATAACTACTGTAACAAAAATAATTTCCCCAAATATGGGATAAACAAAGTATTCATCACATCAAATAATAATCATCTCATCATAACCACCCCATATCATGATTTATTTTCAAAATCTTAGCTTCTTTTATCCACTTTAATTGCAGTTTTATCAACACTGTTAGTGTAGCATCTGCAGTCAGTTAGTTCTTTAAGTGTTTATGTTTAAATAATATCAGTATTTATGACCTTAATTAATCATTAATGAATTTAAGTCATATTGTATTATTGTACTGTTATTGTTGTTGTTGCTCTTGTTGTTGTTGCCAGAGGCGTTCGAAAGGTTCAGACAACAGTTTACATAACTGTAAAGCAGTCATGTAAACGTCCCAATTTAATAAACAATGTCTACTCATTATTTTTTGTTTTGGAAACTGAAACCAATTGAGATCAAAACTAAAGACATTTCAAGGTTTTTGTAAGAACTCACTATTCGTATTTCTTTTCTTCTTCTTTTTTTAAAGTTTAAGTTATTTCTTGAATGAGATTTCTTGATTAATATGTGTTTTTTACAAGTTGTCTTTAACCTTGTGTATACCAAATATATTCAAATAACAGTTACATAACACAAAAATGTAAAGTACAAAAAACAGGAAACAAAGATAATTTGTCATGATTCTCAAGATCACCCCAGTAAAATCCCAAATATTAAAATATAAATAAATGTACTTATGATTAAATAATATAATGCATATGATTTGCATATTAAGTAAGTAAGGTAAGAACGCGAATGCCATCTAAACAAGTTCCACATCAATTATCTGCACTGTATTTATTTCTGAATAACTATTCATATATGCCTCCCTAACCCACCTCCTGTATGCCACTCCATTTGAAAATTCATGTAACTTCAGACTAGTGGTGACGTTTGGCTTGCAGCAGTTATAAAATGATTATTCCTCATGTTTCTTCCCCAGATAAAGCTTTAAGTTTATTTTTGGTTAACAATCCTGGTAAACGAAAAAAAGTCTGCAGCTTGCGAGTAGGGTCGTAAGAAACTGTAATTCCTGTTGTGACCTGAAGATGGCACTAAGCCGCCATTGTCACGCAGATGAACCGTAAAATCCAAACAGGCTGACGTTAGCCTCCTCCTGGATGTTTTTCTTCGCCGTTAAAGAGTTTGGCTACAGTAGAGCGACATTAATCAACCTCTCCAGTCTCTGAAGCACCTCCAGCGACATCTCTGCGGAGTCTGCTCCCCGTCCACTCGATGCTCCTGAAGGTGAGTAGCTATCGTGACAGCTCGGTGCCTCTCTAACCGGAGAGACTGCGTAATGTTAGCCGCTAGTGTTAGCATGCACCGCTGCTCAAACGGCAGAGTCAGACCAGTGTTTACCGTCAGAGTCCGACACTCGGAGCATTAGTTGAAGAAGAGAGGTTTTCCACTGACATGAAAATGAAACAACGGGAAGATTTATTTTAACTCTAAGCCGTTTGAAAACGAGTCTGGCTGACTTAGCTAGCTAGCATGTTGTCAGGCTAAGGTCAAGAAGCTGTCCAATCTGACAGCTAACGCTAACTAACATGGTACCGATTCTACAAACGGGATATGTAGGAGACAGCCACGCCAATAGCAGGTAACATCAGCTCCGGTTCTGACCGCTGGAAACGGGGCTGTGTCGCTCACAAGATTTCCAACAAGAGGTTGGTTCCTGAAAGTTTGGCTGGGGTAAATATGGTTTTAAGGGAGGCTGATGGAGTCTGATGGGTTGCCCAGTGTGGCATACTGGGATGGGTTGGTGGTGGTATTGCTACCTGGCATTTTATGAAGGTTTGCCCGGGTTTAATCGTAGCTTTTCTGGGTGTGATGCTGCTGCTCCACAAATGGCGACAGTGTTAGTAAATAAACCGACTCATCCGCTTTACTTCTGCTCTGTGGCGTTTCTGCAGAGGATGCGGTGGTTTCTGTGGCTCCTATGTATTTCTATATAACCAGCAGCTAACAGCCTCTTCTCAGGCATCAGTCAGCTAAGCTCAGTGATGACTGACGAGGATTCCAGGTCTTAATATAAATTTCTGATCATTACATTTCTGGTATGTAACAGTGCTGTGCAAAAGGTTTGAATGTGTCCTCATTTCTTTATATTTTGGCTTCCAAGGAGCCAGACTTTCTTGTAAATTTTTTGAAGTGATCTTGAGCAATAATAGTTCTGCTCGCTTTCTGGATTTTTTCCCCCCACTCGTTTTCAGTCCTTGTACCTGATCATTTTCAGAATATTTTTTTTGTTTCTTCAGCAACTTAAGATTGACCTATGAATCATTCAAGCATAAAAAGGCTTCTAACTCAAAGGATGAATCAGTGTTGTGTCTACGCAAAACTGTCAGCTTGGTAAAAAACCAGCAACAAAGTATATCCTTAGACAAGTGGTTAGTGGCAGCCTGTTGCATAACACATAATTTGCTCCCATTCATTTAGTCAAATCTGTGAAAATATCTAAAGATAACACAGTTTGATAGACATAAAATTGTATTTTTGCACCAACAAGGTGATTCTCGAAGCGCTATTGGCCCAAAACTATAAGACTAGTTTGTGTGAGTTTGAGTGTGTGGGTAAGCTAGAAAAATGCCCTTTTTGGAATTATTAAAGTTTCCCAATCGGAATCTGAAAAAATAACTATATTTTGGCGTGGAGAAACAATCCTACAAAGACCTGACACAAGACCTGAGAGTTCCATCTGGCGCTTCAGTTGATTCAGCTACTGTTCACTGAAGCCATGTCACAAATGGCTTTAGTGGAAGGGTGGCTGTATAAAGTATCTTAAAGCATTTTGGAGATCTTGTCAAAACTGGTATAACTGTAAATGCAGGAAAGTACCATGAAATTTTTAAACACCATGCAGCACCAACCGGAAAGCATTTGATTGGGAACAGTTTCATTTAAAAAAAATTTTTTTTTTTAGCATAACAATGATCTCAAACACACACACCATTGCAGTAAAAGCATACCTGGATAGAAAAACACACAAAGGAACACTATCAATCATGGACTGGGGTCCGTTCTTCGTACCTCGCTTACTACATCCAAGATCAAATGACATATCCAAGATCAAATCATCGCGCTAACTTTGAGCTCGCTATTCCGGTTCTCCGAACGCAGCTGTTGTTGACGATTAGTATAGCTGGATGAAGTAATGTGAGATCACTGGGTGGCTTAACAGGGGCTACGCATCGATAGTAGAAACATTGATCGGCAACCCTTTGATTGGTCGACGAAAATGTCGAAGGAGCGCGCTCGGTATTTTCTGGCAGCAGAGCAAGAACTCTTGATTGAGGGATTTCAGGAGTTTCAGAGTTTAATTAAAACGCAAGGGAACACTGCAAAGGCTGCAAAAGCAAGGAGAGAGGGCTGGCAGAAAGTTGCTGACAAATTATACTCGTAAGTAATTTAATAATAATAATAATAATGGATTGGATTTATATAGCGCTTTTCAAGGCACCCAATACGCTTTACAATACCACTATTCATTCACTCTCACATTCACACACTGGTGGAGGCAAGCTACGGTTGTAGCCACAGCTGTCCTGGGGCAGACTGACAGAAGCGAGGCTGCCATATCGCGCCATCGGCCCCTCTGGCCAACGACCAGTAGGCGGTAGGGTAAATTTATTATATTATATTACATTATATCCTCTTTCACATTAGAGCCACAACAGGACCCACTAGAACATGGGAACAAGTAAAAGTGAAATATAAGAATATTCTACAGAATGGTAATATTTATCACTTATATTGCTTTTAGTCTCTTGAAAAGAGACCCTGAAATAATCTGTTTGTGTGTTTATAACAGCAACCAAGAAAAGGGCAGAGCAAAAAAAGACAGGTGGTGGTCCTGCACCCCCTCGTCAACAAGTTGGTTAAGTAAATAATACCCTCACGGGAAAATCGATATCTCTCTATGAGCACACTGTCGCGCTGAGCTAAAGGATCCTGTCTATCCCGCAATATACGCTGAATTCTGAACCCCCTCCAAAGGTCCGGGGTTCGATTCCCCTGAACAGCTACCCTGAGGTACCCCTGAGCAAGGTACCATCCCTACACACTGCTCCCCGGGCACCCAATGGCTGCCCACTGCTTCACTGAGTGAATGGGTTAAATGCAGAGAGGAATTTCCCCACGGGGATCAATAAAGTACACTTTCTTTCTTCTTAAAGGACCAGGAATTCATAAAATCTTAAGGTATTTAAATTTAAGAAATAATGCATAAAATATGACAATACAAAAAAAGAACAACTCAAAATAAATAACCTACACTTTGACACAGGGAGTTAGTCCTTAACAGGACGCTTATGTTATGTTTCAGTTTGATTTAATGTAGCAGTGAGTGCTAAAATGATAATTGTCAAAAATAACTTTCTTCAATAAAAAATGTTCAATATTAATTTGATAGAACTCATTCCATCAATAGCTTGATAGACAGCAAAGAAAGTCTAATTATGATGAGAATACCGCTAAGTTGAACTATTCATGTGACTGGAAGAGAGTTAAAACTACAGCATGTTAGGTTGACGCACCCGCAGCACTTAATCTATGGGTCTCTGCAGCCATACAAACTGAAAGACTGATCGATGGTCTGTATGGCTTATGTAGTGAGTCATAAAAACAGAACAGTGGCAGTACAGATGAAATGTTTTACAGTTGTTTAGAACCAAACTATTGTCATCTTGGGTTGTTAAGTCAGGGTAAGTGATTTGGTGGAGGTTGTCAAAGTAGCTCCTTTTCTAAATCCATGCACTGCTCTCGCTCTCTGACATGCCCTTGTTTCATCTTTTGTCATCATTGTGCACTAGGAATGTAAAAGCAACCTGTTGCCTTAGCAATGATATCCCAATATTAAACATCTAGATCACAAAAACAATTATACAGGTGTTTTTGCTAATTCTATGCTATTGCACAACCCTAGTTACTAACGCCATGGCCTTAAACATTTCTATTAGACCGCACTTCCCCAGCTATGTGTAGAAAGTTGAACATTTCTGTCTTCCTTCACTGTTACATCAAGTGTGGTCAAATTGGGCATCTGATCCAAATCTGAAATTGTCAGAATTAAGGTTTTAGTTTATAATAGATGCTTATGTTACTTCATTGAAATACATGTCGTACATGTGTCATGTTCAGTTCCTGACAGAAAATGAATAATAAACAAACCAAAATTAACCATTGTATGTTCACATCTCACTTTTAACCTTTAACAGAAGTACTGATTTGGTTTATATCATGATGAATATCAATATCAACTGATGACATAGTAATTAATTGTGGCACCAAACAGATTTGGTGTACCACCAGTCACTATCCAGGCTCATTAGGTTTTCTTGAGATGTTTAAATTTAATCAAACATCAATGCCAGATGCAGACCTTTCATATAATGTACAGTCCAAATTAAGATAATTACAAAAGAACAGTCAACAAAGAGTCAAGAAAAAGGCTTCATTGACTTCAGGATGTCAGCTCAATATGTGCAGAAAGTTTCATAATGAGAGAGTGACAGATCTTTGATCTTGTGGTACAGCTGTAACATATAACCCAGCCTTCTGCCATAAAATTCATAACACATCAAAATGAAACTTCCTTTTACAGCCTTCTGAGATTTGTCTTAGAAACATAATTTGCTGTAGCTGAATGGCTTTTTAGTTCAATGACTTTCTGAACCCTCAGTTCTCTGTGACTTCATGTGACTACTTATTTGTGGAATAAATTCTTTGTATTTATTACACGGCGTGCTGCGGGGAAAAGTCTGTTCTAACGTTTGAGTCTAAGGTTTATTTTTTAGCACCTGGCGGCTCTTTTTTACTTCTCATTCGTAAATAATCTGCTCTTTCACGTGATTCAGTTTATTTTGAAAAGTCTCAACAGGATCTTGAGCTTTATTGTGAATGGTTTATGTGGTACATAAACAAGCGGACATGCGATGGTGTTACCGTCGTTGTTGCTAACCACAACGCATAAAAACAGGCGCTTGTCCTTCCGTAGTGTGGTTATATTAAATATAAGAGAAAGAGAGAACTTTAAGAAATTAATATAGCCACCACAGTGACCATCAAAACGGTGAAAAAATATTGCCTTAAACAGTTTATTTTCCGACACCACGAAACAAACGATAGCGTAAAATGAAACGATAGACGTTTTTATATCGTCATCCAATATATATCGTTATATCGAACAGCCCTATGTTGAATGGAGTCCCAGGTGTCTCTTAATAGGCAGTAAACAAGCATTCATTCTCTGACCTCAGTTGTCTGCCTTCAGTATCAATTTTGTTTTGTCTGCATCCAGTTAAACTGTGCGGGCCTAAATTTCATTTAAATAAAAATACTAAATAATTTAAGAAATTTGAGCGCTGCATTAAAATACTGAATATAAAAGCTCCAGAGTAGAAACTTAGTTCAACAAAAGTGATTACTGACACACTAATTGGATAACTAAGGATAATTGGAACAAAATGGACTACACCTGTGATTTCTGATGAGCCTAATTGCGTGCATATGGATATGAAATTACCCGTGAACAAGGACAACATCCAAGAAAATAAACCATTCCTTCTTTTTCAGCGTGAATAAACTTTGGTAACAAACATGAAAAGATGCCTGATGAGTACTGGGGGCACATCTTTAGTCTGATGAGACCAGAATACAATAGTTTGGT